CACACACACACACACACACACACATAATAAAACATTTAAAAATACAACAGGGGCTGGGGATGTAGGTCAGTGCTAGAGTGCTTGTCTAGCAAGCATGAGGCTTTGGGTTCAATCCCCAGAAAACACACATACATACACATACACACACACAAAAAAAAAAAAAAAAAAAGGAAAAAGAAAAAAGCTATATAAATTTGCTTCTCGCTGAGACCTATCTTGGCCAATTACTATCAATTAGTTTGAAAGGGCCGATTTGATTATTTCCTTTCTCTCACTTGTACACTTATCGGAGGCCTCCATAACAACGACCAGGCACTCTACACACTTTGGCTCACTGAATCATCACTGGACTCCAAGAAGTTAGTACTATTACTAGCCCAATTTCACAGATGACAAAAGTAGGRTTCAAAACAGTGAGAATTTGCCCCCTAAACTCACAACTGGTAAAAGAGCAAAGACTCAAGCCTTGGTTATTGGACTCCAAAGCTASTGTGCTAAACCACTATATGGAAATGCCGTTCTCATCTACTTATTAAAAAAAATCCTCATCAAATATAACTTTGGTAATAATGCTTTAGATCTGCATAATACTTCACAGTTGACAAAAAAAAAAAAAAACACAACTTCTAATCCCTGCAGCTACTTCTCAAATAGCACAGAGTACAACATTAGTGTACTAATGTTGTACTCTGTGCTATTTTTTAYTCTATAAACCATTTTCCTCTTGATCACTTCCTACAAAATTTAGAAATGCTACACTGCAGAATTTTCACTGGTCCCACATCACCCAAGGGAGTAGAGGAAGATCTGTAAATTTAACATAYGGATATGAAAATGAGTAAAATCCTTTATGTACTCCTTGAAGCAACTCTACATTCATTAGCTGATTTAAAACCACCCCGTAAGAAAATGGGAGTCTTCCTGAGGCAGGTAYGAGGAGACCAAGTCCCAGAGTGAACAAGGGTCACTGGCAGGACAAATCCCAGGTCATCTAGTCCTCTTCTTGGAAGTCTGAGCCACATCCTGGGAGCCTAGGGAGGCCTCCACCTTGGAAACTCAGAYACCAACTGTGGGTTGGCCAGTGGCAGGTGGGTCCTGAGGTGCAGAACCAAGGAGTGCCAGCCAGCCCACCACTTGCAGCCAACATTCTGCACTCTGAAGAGGCCAGGTGCTGAAATGCCAGTGTGATATCTCCTGTGCCAGTGTACGGAGGGAAGCCTCAAAAGGGACCCAAGTTAAACGAACAGCTTTAAAAGTGAAAAATTGCCAAGCTTTTWWAAAAAAAAAAAAGCTAGTGTAAGAAATGAGACACTCCTCAGGTCTGGACCGGAGACTTACAGGAGATACTTTTTTCAGTTCTTTGGTCATAATGGGATTGCTCCTCAAGGACAACTTATGTTCTATTGCAGCACTAGTTACAGACATTCTCAGCTCTTCCCAAAGAGCACCACCACCAGAGATAAAAATGTTCATGACTGCTCATTACTTGGCTACACAGGGCACACGGTTCATAAATTTCATACTCACCTTGAGGAAAAAAGGGTCTGTTGTAACACCAAAGATTTTCCAGCACATTAGTCTTACAATGCTTTAAAAATGTATAAACACCAAATCAGTGTTCAAGTCAGTACAGGAWTACAATAGGATGGCATGGCCACATGAAAAGAAAGGAGCCCAAGAGCAGAAACAAATGTTTTAAAAATGGTCAACAGACTTAGAAACATACAGCATCATCTCACACTTCCTCATTAGAGGGCAACAACATTTGTGATTTTGCCTGAAAGTGGGTGCCTTTTAATTCAGTGCTTTGGGGATTCCATTTGGGTTGGTCTGATGGTCCCTCAGGTCTATGCAACAGAAATTATCTTTCTTGGGACATTTATGTCCTTCTGGTTTCACAATGTCTCTACTGCCCACCCTGCCTATAACCCCCACCAAAAAAAAAAAAAAAAAACTGGAAAAAGAATCTTCAGATTAAAATAAAAAGTTTAAAATTGCTTAAACAAACAAAAAGGACAAATGGGAAAGTAACTTGGCTATAGCCAGGTGGAGAACTGTCAGAAGAGGAAGAAGGAAGAGGCCAGCTCCTCATCAGTGTCCCCTGTTAGCTATCTCCTCCTCTTCTGAGATGTCCCACACAGAGCCCCCAGGCCTCCACTTGCACTCCAGCACTGGTTGTATTATACTGCTTGCCCACGGTCTCCCCACTAGACAATGCAGGCCTCAGCACAAGGCTGCCGTGTCACAGGTACCTTGGTGCCCCTGGCCTCTGGCCCAGAGCTGGCCACTTGACAGAAACTTGGAGAACACTGGCTCAATCATCCAACCTGGCTGGGAGGCTTTGTTTTTCAGATATGGTTCTTACTTCACCCAAGGCACCCCTCAGCATTTCCTACCAAAGTGGCTGTCTGAGGAAGTAGAGGCAGTSGTTAGCCCCTAGTAAGCCTACTACTCTAATTTTGGGGGAAGACTTAGATTTTCTTTTTAAAATTCACATATCCTTTGCATTCTCCTTTGCAGTTGTATTGTAAAAATAATGTCCTTCAAAAATTTATTTTTTCAGTAAACTGTTCATGAGGATGTGTATATTTTTAATTCTCCAGGTTTGGGTATCTTCCCAAAGGTCACATATTGAACCCCCATCATTATAACAGAAAACCACTCCTCCTATCTTTTCCTCTTTTTTCTTTTTTTTAAGCACCTCCTGATTTGGCTCCTACCTCTGCTTCATCATGCTGGGGCAACAGTTTTGCCCGGGGAAGCTGAAAGATAAGGCATGTCACTGGCACTGTTAAAATTAGAGGTTTCCATGGTCTCCGTCAGTTTAGCTGGGTTTAGGAGACATGGGGCGCCAAGGAATTCACAACAGAACTGCTGTTAACCTTGTATGGGCAGTTCCTGTGGCAAAGCTTCTCCAGGGATAAATGCCGCTCTCACCAATCCTGACCTTAAATCTAAGGCCACAGAGACTCATTGGGAGGAAGGCCTTTTAAAGCTGCAGTGAAAGAACATGATCTGTAGAAGGCACCTGGGCCGGGGAGGGGGAGTGTGTCATCCCCAGCTCAGACCTGGCCCTACTCCTCTCACTGAAGGGGCCCTGGCTTATGGGCCATTTCTAGAGAGTAGCTTCACATGATATTGTGTATTTGGGCATGGAACTGACCATAATTATAGAATTCTCAGTGCTGACCTATGAAAACAGGCAGAGTAGATTTAAGGGAAAGCGAAGAAAGCAAGCTGAGTTGGATAACTAAGCTCCACTCTCTGTTCTGCAAAAGGCAGTCAATTTTCAAAAAACTAAGAAAGTCCTCCTTACTAACATGAAAACATCATGTCCCCAAGGTACAATGTTGGAAAGAGCAACATGAGGTGAGTCAGGAGCACATAAACTTTCTTGGACTCAAGCCCATCAACACTATTTCCTGAGGATGTCTGGGCCCAGTGCAGCAACAAAAGTTCCTCCAGGAGACCCGGGCACCTCCCACCACAATGGCTGCATGCTGAAACTACCTCAGAGAGTCTAGGTAGCCTGTGGCTCCTTTATCTGGAGCACCTGAGGAATGGTGAGATAGAGAGCTGCCCACAGGGGCTCTGGGATAGCATCCCAACCACAGGCAGGAAAGGGCCTTGCAATACCAGCAGACCCTTTCCAAGCCAGTCTCCCCCAAGCCCTGTAATATGGAGTCAATCCAGAGGYAAGGTGGTAAACAAAGAGAAAATTAAAAAATGATGACTGAATGAGAAGGATCATTATGAGGCCACTGGAAATGTATGTGAGCAAGTTTGTCATTCTGCCTTAAGGAAAGATACTCCATAGTCTGATTAGAAATGAATCAGAGRGACAATACTCATGGTGACAGCAAGCTAATAAAGGATCCTAAGGCTTGTAAACTGATGGGTATTTGTGCATTTCTCCTTCACAACAAAATCTGAAGCACCACCATTTATAATGCCCTGAGGGTGACTACTAAAACACCCTGTTATATGCTAATGGAAAGTAAACCACAAGAGACAAAGGTCTTCCTGGGGGAGACCAGGCTGGGCGGCCTTTTCCTCACTTGTAATCAATCTCCACACACTCTCATACTAATGCTTCAGGGTTACATTTTCATTAAATTAACAGTGTTTGGCAAGCATCAGAAACAYAGAATCTCACAGACAGATACAGGCAGAAAGAATCACAGTTCAATTCAAAAGCAACACACTGAGGGAACATCAGAGTCCAAATGCATGCAGAAAAGCCATCAGAGAGCAGCTGGGAGACACACAGAGCCGCCTCACACACGGCAGCAGGAGAGTGTGCGACATGGATCCAACTGCTTACCCACTAAGGACACCAAGAACCAGGTTAAGGACGAAAAATGAGCCAAGGATGATCAGACTAACAAAATACACCCATGGCCATTCCCATCCTATCGCATCATTTACCTGTAAAATGTAAGGAGATCAGTTATCAGTTATCCATTTACTAAAGAGCAGAGCCCCAGTTGCAGCTGTCAGACCACTCAGTGCTTTGGCTGAAGGTTAGTGCTCATAGTATAGGGACTGGGCCTAGGTAATTCCATCTTTTTCTTCCAATAAAGACAAGTTCTATTGCTAAATCTACAAATGGGGCCTACTAAAAGTCTTCCCAGACCAGCTCACTTAGCTAAAGTTTTGTACCAATTAATGTGCATTAAATTTGGATCCAGACCAAGAAAGCAATTACAAACGTATCTCATTTTAGGAGAGTCAAAAGRGCAAGCCATGGAAACTGTTTAAATCCCAAGTAACAACGTTGATTAATTTCTGGTCAATAATTATTCTATAGCTTTCTTTCACAAAGACTGGTGAGGTTCCAGGAAACCCCTTGATCTGGGAAGCCTCAGCAGAAAAGAGAGCATCTCAAACCAGACATGAAGCATTTGGCACCCACTCGGAGGCCCCCTCTAGCAAAGCCTGTGTGGTCTTGGCAACTGTCCTCAGGACTCTGCTTTCAAGATGAAAGAGGTGTAGCTTACCCGCTCAATACACCAAGTACAAGATTTAGTACGAAAAATGACCCAAAGATGACGAGACTGACAAAATACACCCAGGGCAATTCAAATCCCATAGCATCATTCATCTGCAAGAAATAAGATGGTCTCATAGGAGTGGATTAATAGGAGAATCTAATAAGGAAAGAGGGTCACATTAGAGAGAGCATTCTATACATTTAAATAAAACATTTACTTAGACTGAAATCAGAGACAGCAGCCAATGTACATTCATTGCATATTCCTAGCACACATACACACACAAGCAYGTGCACCCACACACAGGAAGAGTGACTGAGGCTTTGAGGCCAGATACTAGCACATCATGGTCCCAGGTAGGGAAATCAATTGGGATTTGGCCCTTTCTTGCAGGAAACTGCCTCACTAAGCAAAAGTAGCACTTAGCTGGAATCTGTTTTCTGCTCTGTGGAGCTGATAGTATTAACTTTACTTTTAAAATTTGTGATGGTGGAAAAGTCTTCATTATAGAGACAAACTTACAATATTTGACTCTATAAATGCTTTTTCAAAAAAATAAATCTCCTAAAATGATAAGCTTCTAGCAGAAGTCAACCTATCCAAGAAAATCTAACCTTAAATCTGGCTTATCTATAATCAGTGAGTAGAAATATAACTAAATGAATGCAAAAAAGAGAAAACATTTCAGAGGCCAGTAAGCTGACACATATTCAGGGGTCACTTAAGGAACAAGATTTTTCTCACTTTCACTCACATAAGGATGCCGGCTTTAACCTAGATGACCTCCCATAATGGCCCCAGCTGTGAGATGACCAAGTAGAGATGTGAAGAAGGGCTCTGCCAGAAGAACCTGTCAACCCTACATCTAGACAAGCTCAAGCTGCGTGCATATTTGGGCGTAGCTTTTGTCAGACCCTCCCAGGGGAGGTTTGGTAGTGAGCAGCTTTCACACTGGAGCAGACAGGTGCTTTAAGGATCACAGCTGGATGGAATTTTCCAACAGCACAGGTTGGTGTTAAATTGGGCAAACATCTCTCCAAAGCAGGAGGTGTTAAAGACCAGTCAGGAGACAGAATGGAATACCCCAGGTCTGACCCTTCTGGCACATCCAGAATCCTCAGCCAATGAAGAATCTGGGTGATCTCTCCTGCCCTGCAGGGATCAGCCCTTAGGGTGTTTAAGCCTGTGCCTTCTTGTACCTTATCTGGCTCCCGGCTTTAGCTTTATAGAATAAGGCTCATGCATTTCACAATGTTTGCCTCATGCAGAAGCCAAACAGGAAAAGAGAACATAAAAAAAAAAAAAATCACCTACCATCTGTTGCTGAAGCCTAGGGAGAGGGCATTAAATCCCCTGTGAAACACCTGTTTGGCCACATGAAAATTGATGTGCTTAATAGAACTCATATCAGTCTGCACATCTTATACTGGCAATTAGAGTAATGAATGAGCCAGGGCTGTGGCTGCAATTGTTGATCTAATTAAGTTGGATAAACTAATTTCAGCAGGAAGGCAGAGGGTAATTCTCCCAAAGCAACTACGCCACTAAACTTATTTAAAAACCCATGTGTGTAGAAGAAACAGGCTGCCTGGTGGGGTGGCCAGAGCATAGTCTCAAATCAATACTTGTGAYAGATTCTCTCTGGGCCTGTTTTCTTCTGTTGAAACAGAGGTGCATGTGGCAGAGGAGAGTGTTATATGGGGGAAGGGGAGGATGTACAAGTGCAGGGCTCCATTAGGAAACCTCACTCTTCTACCACTCTGCCAGTGTAAGCTGACCAGGGCCATCTGCTTCTCCAGTACTCCTTTAGACTTCAGTCTGGTGTCCCAGAGTATGACTCTAGTAACCRTTGTTTACTCTACTTGGAAGGGAAATTTTTCTTTAAAGAAATTAAATTCCTTTTTCATTTCTTGAGAGTAGGTGCTCAGCAGATTGGCATTTGATCAAATTAGAAGTATCACCTGGAGTGACAGCTGAGGGCAAGCTGCAGCGAAACAATAGCCACAGGAGACTAGCTCTCTGCCAGAAAGGGGACAAGAAGACATAACTTACGCTCTAAGGGCCTGTCTTTCTCCCAACTAAACCTTCTCTACTGAGTCCCTTTCTGAGCCAAGTATTTCTTAGACCTTACCATACACATTGGGAAAAAAAAATCAGAACTGCCAAGCTGTTCCCCCCAAAATACCCATGTGAAGACAGAGAGTGTACTTCAGACTGTGCATAATCTTTATCAATAGTGGAGAAACTGGGACTAGGGTTGTGGCTCAGTGGYAGRGCACTAGCCTAGCACTTGCAGGGGCACTGGATTTGATCCTCAGCACCACATTAAAAAAAATTTAAAATAAAGGTATTGGGTCCAACTACAACTAAAACAAAATATTTWAAAAAAAAWTAGTGGAGAAACTCACATAAGCTAAAGGTCTTTGATTTATCCTGGGCTCCAAGAAATAGTTTTCTATTTAGATTCAGCTCTCTCTCATTTTAGAGGCTAAATTCAACATTCATGTCTTAAATTGAAGGCCAATTTAAGGCCTTTTGTTTTCTCTAACTGTTGAAAACACTACTGGAAACTTCATCCACTGCTTGTAGTTCCTCAGGCATGAAATATGAGAAAGGCAAGGCCTTGACTGATGACCTGGACAGGAATTTCCCAGGTGCTTCAAATGAAGGACACTGTCAGTTGACCATGAGCTTCCTATTAGAATCGGGCAACGGGCACCTCCATAAGTGTACCATTGAGGAAAGAGCTCAGTGCTCAGATAAGAGGCCATCAATGGCTTAGATGAATAGCTCTCTCCTGAAACCAATACTTTCAAAATTAATTTTCTACATTGAAAAATATTTCCTCTAAGTTAAAGAAGAAAAAAAGGAACACATGCCATTCTAATTCTTTACCTTATAGATAAGGAAGTTAAAGTCCAGAGAGGTTCAGTAACCTGCCCAAGGTCACACAACCAGCCTCATCCAGCCTCAATACTCTTATCGGCACTATGCCCTACCGTTTTTATGGGCAATATATATGTAAGTCAAACAACACTTTAGTTAGGTTTATATAGCTCACTTTGTTTTTTTTTWAAAAAAAGCACTACAATAATTATTTTTCCACCAGAAGTCGATGATTTTACTATCCATGCTTCCAAATAATTCTGTCCTAGGTGTGCCTTTCTGCATATGGGACATACTGCTCTTCTCAAGACCCTGCCAGCCATTTGCCAGACACTATAGAGAATTACAGCATTAACTAGCTTGAGAATACTGACTGAATGTAAACTTGACTAGATATAAAACATTCCCCCACAAAGACTTTGTCCACCATATTCAAATACCTAAAGGATTGTGAAATTTGCTTGCAATTATTTAAAATGCAATCTCCTTTGTTACCCAAGATATTCCTTTTATGCCCTATTCATGGATTAAAAATAGATATTCAGACATGGTCCATCTACACTAATGAGGCAGTAAACCTGGACCTCTTGAAGTGTGGCAACAGTCACTTTCATTTGATGAGCACCTGCTCTGTGCTGGAACAGGGATGTTCTGTTCTAAAACACAGCTGTGTGGGTTTCCAGCTGAATGTGGCCCATAAAATATTAGGAAGGCTTGGTTCCTTGGCTCCTGCCTATCTCTATGATGGGTTAATAAATGCAATCAACAAGTAATTAAAAATAATTCTGATGTGTTTCAGAGAGTAAGATCTTAGAGAACACTCTGGAAGACATTACTTAGCTGCCCCCTAGTGTTTTGGAAGGATTCACAAACTGCTGACAAGTAGAAAAAWGCCAAGAAAAGACTACTGGGGCGCCTGGGGTTGTGGCTCTGTGGTAGAGCGCTTGCCTACCATGTGTSAGGCACTGGGTTCTATATCAGCACCCACATAAARATAAATAAATAAATAAATAGTTATTATGTCCAACTACAACTAAAATATTTTTAAAAAAGGACTACTGGGTATAGACTAGGGGGTCCCCAAACTATAACCCAAAGGTCAAATCTAGCTGCTGCCTGCTTTTATATGACCTTCAAGTAGCTGTTACATTTTTAAATGTCGGGGGGCATGGCAAAAAAAGATTATCTCATAACACATAAAATGTCATATGAAATTTAAATTTCAGGGTCCATAAATGACATCTAGGTGGAATAGTGCCATACCTACTTCTTTGTATATTGTCTGTGGCTGGTCTTGAGCTCCAACAGCAGATCTAAATAATTCCAACAGGGACCACAAGGCCTGCAAGGCCAAACATATTTACTACGTGGCCCTTTATAAAAATGTTTGCATATCCATACTTTAGACAAAGAAAAAAAACAGCTAGAAGACCCTGGGAATATACAGTGATATCCCTATATCCCACTCTCTCCAGCTACAAGATCTCAGACCTTCTATAAAGGAATATAGATTGATGTAATGTTTAGGAATTACTTAAGCTCCTCCATCAGAATAAAGAGGCTATGTAATTCATAGAGAATGTAATTATGTTGTCAAATTATTAACTATGTGATTGTCATACTAACAATAAAGATAATTATATCATCATCCTAGGTGATACTTAAAAGTTCTCTAGAAAGCAAATGGAAACTTGTTTGGGGGAGGAGTTTTCTCTTTTAATCACACGTTYCCAGAGTTTTCACTGCTTGGTAACAGGACAACTGTGAGGGAATCATCATGTAGAAATGTAACAAAGTGTAATATTATTCATTAGTCCAGGCATGTTGGATCAGCAGTTGACAATTCATCCATAACAATAAAGAGTAAAACAAATCTGAGGGGAATCAGATTTTTATTTTTTTTTAAAAAATTCAGAATGTTGCTTTCTGTACTGTTTGGGGGAATGGGTCAGAGTTTGGGCAATTTGGGCTGGGGTTGTGGCTTGAGTGGGAGAGCACTTGCCTAGCATGTGTGAGGCCCTGGGTTCAAGCCTCAGCACCACATAAAAATAAATAAATAAAATTAAGGTATTGTGTTAAACTACAACTAAAAAATTTWAAAAAAAAAGAGTTTGGGCAATTTGGATGATTCTTTTTCTGTTTATCAGAAACTTAATGGAAAGATGGATTGAGGCCTCACTTTGAGTGGGATTTGCAATTTAGGAGACAGGCATAAAAACAAACACTTTATCTGACCTGAGGAGTCCCTGTGCCTGGCCATGATCTAAGCTCATCCAATATAATATCCCACCTGGTTTCCTTTTCATGAAAAGGCCTTGTCTTACAAATATAATTAACAGATGTGCATATTGACTCACACAGAAGCACACAAACTCACTCTCACTCTTTCTCTTCCCCATCCCCCATAACAATCATAAAAATGATGGGAAGGAGGAGAAACAAGATATAACATGTTGTTGATACATAAGCCTTACCAAACTAGACTCACACTTTGGACACTAAAGGTAAAAACATGCCTTGCCTAACATTGAACATACAGTCGTCCCTCAGTATCTGCAGGGGGTTGATTCCAGGACACAGACCCYYCAATACCAAAATCCACAGATGCTCAAGTCCCTTAYATAAAATGGCAATGCACTGCATATGACCTACACACATCCTCCTCCCATGTACTTTCAATCATCTCTAGATTACTTTTGATTCTTAATACACTATAAATGTGATGTCATTTAACTGCATTATTTATGGATAGAGAAAAAGGTTGCACATATTCAGTAGAGGTGCAATCTTTYTCATTCCCAAATATTTTAAGTCTGCAGTTGGCTGGATGTGGAGATGTGAGACCTGTGGATGTGGAACCCATGGATACAGAGGGTCGACTGTATAGGGGTTTCTATAACCTGGCAAGCATAGAGCCCACCAATGAAGGGAAACAAAACCTATGTATAACCATTATGTGTCCTTAAAGTTATAGAGTAAAAAAAAATAATATAAAATCCTATCAAGTTTAGATTTGGAAACTATGAGACGATACTTCTCAATTTGTAGGCCTTCTAACAAGAAGCCATCAATTCAAGAAGTACTTCACTACTAATTTCCTTTTAACAATTCATTATTGGAATTCTAGTTAACCACAACTGGACTGGGATTTAGGCTCCAAATCTATATGTTAGCTATTTTTTTCCCAGTGACTCTTATTTAGCAGGAAAGAATATCTAAACTTCTGTGAGGTTTTCAATTCTACCAATAAGCCTGGCACTGTGGCACATGCTTATAATCCAGCAGCTCAGTAGGCTGAGGCAGGAGGATGGTGAGTTCAAAACCATCCTCAGCAAAAGAAAGGCACTAAGCAACTCAATGAGACCCTGTCTCTAAATAAAATACATAATAGGGCTGGGAATGTGGGGCTCATTGGCCTAGTGCCCCTTAGTTCAACCCCTGGTACCACCACCTCCCCCCCTGAAAAATTCTACCAATAAACAAACTCAGCCAAGGAGTTTATAATACTACTGTACTTCATTCATAGTGTCAGTAACAAAAGGAATCAGACCCTAGTCATTGAAAGAATGTCCAGCTGTTGGATGAGACTACCAGCCTTGGTAGTTTGACACCTTTTCTGCCCTACCAGAGTTCTATAACCCCTAAGAGATAGAAAGAACTAAGGACTTGTGCTGGGCTGACTTATATTAATGGGAACATTATAAAAAAGAAATTATGATGGGAAAAACTTGTGCTGGGTAAAGGTTGTACTGAGCTATGAAAAGTATGAAAGGGATCCAAATTATCATCCCTTTGGAATCTAGTAAAATAATCTGCCTTTATGTATGAAAACTCAGTTTCAGACTGTGGAAGTTGAGTGAGAAACCACACTCTGGCTCTCAAGAGTTTAATCAGAACAGCCCTGACCACCTGAAGTTCCTCCCACAGGGAACTGGGCAATCAGCAACAATTCTCCAAGCAGCACTGGGGAAGGGGAAGACTAGAAGGCCAGAAGCCAATAATACGCAGAAGCCTTCAAGAACTTAACCCTAAGGGAGCAGAATGAAGAGACTCAATGAGTGAAAGCAAGGTCTAATTCCCTTCCCCAATAACTGACTTCCAGAGTTTCTTTTTCAGCCATCTCTCACTAAGGAAGCATCTATCCAAGGAAAGAATAAACTCTCTCCTCAAGTGGCTTACCCAGTACAGCACATCTGTCCAGCCCTCCATGGTGATACACTGAAACACAGTGAGCATGGCAAAGGCAAAGTTATCAAAATTGGTGATGCCTCCATTTGGGCCAACCCAGCCACTCCTACATTCCGTGCCATTGGCGGTACACTGGCGTCCATTCCCTGAGAACGCACATGGAGCTGGGTCCTCTTCAGCTACGATATCTGTAAAGACAAAGCAGGATATGCCACACTTGGGAGAGGAACATCCAAGCCCAGAAGACATGCTAAAGCCCAGAACACCCCATCTCCCACTCATGCCGTCTCAGAATCCTAGTTGCCCTTCAAGGCCATTTTGAATACTTCTTCCTCAATGGAATTTGCCATTTCCTCTCATCACAATCCACTACTCTTCACTCTGTACTCAATCTTACAGTTCTTTCCTGAGCTTACAGATCACAATGTTATTGGTTTGGCTCATGGAGGTCCCTTATCTTGTTTGCTAGGACACATTACACAGGAAATCAGAATGGAAAGGAGATTAAGTTCTCATTYATTCTTAACATAATTCACACTAAGAACTAGCTCAAYAGACTTGCTGGTATATTTGGCATCAAGAAATACCCTTCTCACATTTTTTTATTTTTTATTTTTTCTAAAACCAAACGTTGCTTATTGCGGAAAYCAAAACTTTTAAAAGTTAGATTAGTTACCATTTTCAGTTCTTACCTGAGTCAGCAAAAAAACATGTTTTGTGCATTTTTCCAATAAAAAGTTCCAATCCTATAATAGCATAGATTATGATTACAAATAATACCAAAAGGGCTATGTGAAGGAGGGGAACCATGGCTTTTATAATGGAGTTCAGGACAACTTGTAAACCTGGGAAAGAGAAAAATCAGTTTGTGAGCCAGGAAGACAATTCAGATGAGGCACATATATGATTCCTAATAATACTTGCTCTGTTTAAGATGTATAGTAATAAAACTGGATGGAAGGTGAGCTSAAGAGGAGAATTACAGATCATCTAATCCAACTGCCTATCAGGAAGGAAAAACTAAAGCTTGAGAAGGACTGCTGATGTCACTCATTCATTTATTTATTTATACATTATTTATCCATTCAACAAAACTCCTTGACCATCTACCATGTGCAAAATAAAGGTTAGTGCTTTGGATGATATGAAAAGATATTACATAAAGTGTCTCAAGGTTATGTTCTAGAAGGAAATATAAGAATATTATACAAATTATTCTCAGGTAGCACACAGATGCTATGAGCATATTAAATGGTTAAAATTAAAAAGAGATGAAAGACATTGCCCTTGAGTAGGGTGAGGGAAGACAACTCCTAACAGGGCCTACAGGGTGAGTAGGATGGATTTCCACAGATGGGCATGGAGTGAGAACCCAGTACCAAGAGTAGCACAGCAGGAATGAGCACAATGKAGGTTTGGGGTGAGGTTTTTTWAAAAATATTTATTTATTTAGGTTTTAGKTGCACACAATAYCTTTATTTCACATTTATGTAGTGCTGAGGATCGAACCCAGTGCCTCTTGTATGCTAGGGTGCATGCTAGGCGAGTGCTCTACCACTGAGCCAGCACCCCAGCCCTGGGGCAAGTTTTGATCAGTGATCATGTAGTWGGAAAGAACATCAGGAAAGAGAAGAAGATTGCAGCCATATCACTCTGAGTTTTGAATTTGGGTTATGGAGCCAGACTTTAGTCCATCAGCAAAAGATAGCTTCCTCATAAAGATGAACAGGACAGCAGCAGGTGAGACAGGCAAGAAGTATTTCAAGAGTGCCGGGACTCCCAGGTAGGTTAGAATGAGGATCAGGATGAGACCAGAACTGAACAGTCAGATGGAATTAAAGAAAGGCACTTGGTGGCACTCTGAATATCTAAGCCAGGGTAACAAAGCAAATCCCAACATCCAAAACAAAAACAAGTGTTTCAAAAGAAGGATCTTTCGGAATTAGGGACAAAGGCCAGGAGGCAGAGGAACAAGAGTGACTTTAGATCTGTCCAGTTTGAACACTTGGCATAACATTAAGGTGCAAGTGTCCTATAGCCCAAATGTGAGCTTGATAAAGGAGAGASACAGGCGTTGCACAGAGCAACCGTGCAGGTCCAGCTGCCAAGGAAGAGATGGGAATGATGAAGAAGGTTGGTGGGGGATTGGGAGAAGGACAGCAGGAATCAGAACCCACACTAGAACCAGGCTTCCTGGCTCCCTGGTAACTGGTCCAGCGTTCTCCAACACCCATGATCTCAAATTCTGCTGTGTTTTTCTTTTCTCCTTGTCCCATTGTCTCTCTTTTCTCAAACTGCCCCTTTTCTAGTATATTCTTAGTTTCCTAATACCTATTCAAAGAAAGAATATAAGACACTGATGTACTAAAGGTAAGTAAATTAAAAGTCAGAATAAGCAAAGGAAAGAGAATATTTACCAGCAATAAAAACAAAAGTTTGCCATTACAAATAGCATTGGGAAAAGTCAGGGGAGTGGGAAGGTCAGGGAGGGAAGATTGACAAGAGGGTTTCACATCCAGAAAGACCCTGTCTTTCTAAAGCCTTCAATACAACACAATACTCAGTGCTACCTTTAAATGTTTAAATGTTTATTTGGGGGGAAATATGACAAGTAGTATGATTTTCAATATTTTTGCATCCTAAAAGGAATTAAATGGAGGGGCATGAAAAACATTGGCTCGAAACTATGTGGAGGGGCTGGGGTTCGGGCTCAGTGTAGTGAGCTTGCCTTGCAAGTGTGAGGCCCTAGGTTCGATCCTCAGCACCACGTAAAAATAAATTAACAAATAAAAGTATTGTCTCCATCTACAACTAAAAGAATATTTTTTWAAAAAATTAACTATGTGGACAGATTTATTTATTTTTTAGAGAGAGAGAGAAAAATTTTTTAATATTTATTTTTTTAGTTTTTGGCAGACACAACATCTTTGTATGTGGTGCTGAGGATCAAACCCCGGCCACACGCATGCCAGGCAAGCGCACTACCGCTTGAGCCACATCCCCAGCCCCAGATTTTTTATCCGTTTTTTTTTTTTTTTTGGGGGGGGGTGCATGGGGGACATGGATAGGTCATCCTAAATCATCCATCAGTTAGCTTTTCAAGATTATGGAAACTATATGCTTCACGAACATTTTTATRTTTAGTGTAACAACTGTATTTCAGATTGGCCCAATTTATGAGATGATAGAGTTGTACCTTAATGTGAACAAGTATATGAACTTTATATTCAGTTCCTTTGGACATAATCAACATGTACAGTAGATCTCATGGGACTCTAATCAAGGAGGTATGAGAAGGAGTAGAATGAATTGCCAGGCCAAGAATGAGGGGATGTGGTGCTGGCCTTGTGCAGCTGCCCACCAGCTTGAGAACCTCTAGTCACCACCTCTTGACAGGCCTTGGCTTGCTTATTTAAAAGAAGATGCAGAGAAAAGAGACTTTTTTAACAGATGATGCTTAGAAAACTGGATAACTATATGTAGAAAAATTAAGAGACTGCTCTCTCTGATCCTGAACAAAACTCGAATTGAAAGGGATCAAAGACGTAGGAATTATATCAAACTCTACAACTGCTAAAAGAAAACATAGGGCCAACACTTCATCATGTAAGTGCTGGCACTGGCTTCCTTAGTAAGACTCCAAAAGCACAAGAAATAAAACCAAGAATTCAATAAGTGGGATGCCATCAAACTGAAAAGGAAATGATTAAGAGCATAAGAGAGCCCACAGAATGGGAGAAAATCTTGGCCAGCTACTCCTCTGATAGGGGATTGATATCCAGAATATACAAAGAACTCAAAAAACACCTAAAACACACACAAAAAAAACCCAAATAACCCAAATCAATTAATGGACAAAAGAACTAAATAGAAACTTCTGAAAGAAGAAACACAAATGACCAAATCCATGAAAAAATGTTCAGCATCTCTAGCATAATTAGGGAAATGTAAATCAAAATTGCACTAAGATTTTTTTCTTACTCCAATCAGAATGGCAATGATCAAGAATATGAACAATAATAAATGCTGGTGAGATGTGGGGAAAAGGTACACTTGTATGTTCYTGGTGGGACTGTTGCCTAGTACAACCAATCTGGAAAGCAGTATGGAGACTCCTCAAAAAAATAGGGATGGAACCACCAATATGACCAGCTATCCCACTCATTGGTATTTTCCCCAAAGATCTAAAATCAGCATACTACAACAATATAGCTACCTCAAAGTTTAGAGCAGCTTAATTCACAATAGCTAAAATATGAAATCAATCCAGATGCCTGTCAATAGATGAATGGATTAAGAAACTGTGGCATTTATATACAATGGAGCTCTACTCGGCTATAAAAAAGGATGAGATTATGGCATTTGCCGGTAAATGGATGGAAATGGAGAATATGGTTCTAAAGAATTAAGGTAAATTCAGGAGCTCAAAGGTCAAATATTTTCTYTTATATGCAGAATCTAGAGTAAAATAAAGGAAAGGGGGATGAAAGGACAGGATAATATAAARAACCAATCAAATGTAAATTAATACACAAGTCAAAGGAAGTCAAGTAGAGGAAGGAGAATGAAAGAGGGGAGGAAGGATAGGAGAGAAAGGGGGGATCATGAACTGAAACTGATTTCCATGTATGTACAAGTTTGTCAGGATGAACTAAAGAGCTCTGATTTAAAAAAAAATGCAGACATACCAGAGTATCTTTAGAGTTCTTTCCCACTTTGATGATCTTGAATTTGGTAAACACTGATCAGCTAACTGAATCCGGGTGGTAAAGAACTCCACAAACGTCTGAATTACCACTTTTGAAATACACTTGCCTTTCACTAATGACTATTCCCATACAAACATGCACACAAAATTATGTCTTCTAGAATAGTCTGAAATCTCTTTTGAAGGGAGCAGACAATTCATAGATAAGTATAAATAATGAAACATTCCTAGGCATTTTCAATGATTGCAGGTACTTAGAGAAGAATCATCAAGCCACAGATGCCAACCAACACAGGAAGGAGCATGGCCCTGGAACCYAACTCCTTCCCCTAAAAAATCCATTTGGGTTTGATGAGAGGAATGAATGTTCCCTTCTTGGTCAGTTAAAATACGGGCTTAAAAGTCCTCCTGTTTCTCCCTGTTGTCCTGTAATGGGAGAGATCAGATTTCCATCAAGTTGCAAATAGCAGTGTTTCTTGGAAAAATTTAAGCTATACAGTTGAAAACTGGCTCTCCAGAGTATGGAGGGGCACAGTACTAGTCCGTCTGCAGAAACCTCACTAGTCAACATAATGCCATGTGGATTCTGGAATTTTTACCAGCCAGAGGTGCTCATGCAYGCACGAGCCACAGCCTCAAAAGTCTGCACGCAACAGTCCTGTCATTTTTCTCTTTGGGGGAAAAGGCTGTCATGGTTACTTTGAAATTAGATTAAGCTATAACAACTAAATCGGAAACAACATGTTTGCTCACTGAAATTCTCATTTAATCATGTTACACTTTAAAAAGCCAGTCATTTTCAAGGTATTTCTACTTTTCTCAATTGCTTCCAGACAGTTCTGTGGTTCAGACTTGTGCTGATCTTTTTCAATGAAAATAAATGAACCATCTGGAAAAACAAGTACACATAAAACACCACTTCCTACACTTTAAAATGTTAAATTTGGAAATAATTCTATGGGGTTTTTTTTCTTCCAGAGGATTTTTGGTGCATTCTGAGTGCCAACAGGTTTAATAAAATTCCATGAAGAATTTCTGGAGAAGAAAAAAAAATCTGTGCTCTTCCGATGACTATGAATTGTAGAAAATAGGCACATCCTATAGTCCTGTATCCCTAACTTCAGTTTTGAGCAGGTGACCATCTCAGAAGCACCAGTCCTAAGAAAGGCATTAGGACTTCTATCCTCTGAAGTCCCCAATACAGGGGTCCGCCTAAAGGGAAGGACAATGAGGCAAACCCCATACTTCTCAGAGAAGGCTTAGAGGTCTGCAACTCCAGGCAGCAGTGCACCTGTTCCAATCCAGGTATGATTCAACCTGGCCTGGAGGTCTGATCCAGAAGCAAAACAGGGCCTGGCACTCCCTGGTACGGAGGGCTTAGTGGATACCACCACTATCTCTGGCTCTGAGAACTTCCTCTGTGCTTCAGACATGGTGCTAGGGCTCTCCCTCCATTCTCTAATTAGGTTCTCACAACCACCTTCAAGGCAGGACCTGCTGTACCCTGTATGCTGGTGTGGGAGCTTAAACATTCATCCCTTTCCCTCAGAACTAGACAGACATATAAAGAATGAAATTAAGTCATTTGCAATAAAAAGGGTGGAACTTRAGAACACTATCTTAAATGGAATAAGTCAAACTCAGAAAGTCAAGGGTTGTATGTTTTCTTTCATTTGTGGAAACTGAAGAAGAAAATCAGGGAGAGGGTTTTGGATCTCATGAAAATTGAAGGGAGATAAGTAGAATAGAGGAAAGGGATTGGGAGAGGCAGGAGGGAAAGAAAAGGAAAAATACTAGGGAATAATATTGGCCAAAATATATTGTTATATTATGTGCATGTATAAATAYRAAACAATGAATCCCACTGTTACGTACAACTATAATGCACCAAAATATGGAAAAAATAACTGGACAGGCACAATTCTTAGTAGTAGGATGGCTATCCATATTTTCCAGAAGCCCAGCCCCCTGTTGCTCCGCACTTTGAAAAAGGCTGTGAGGTGAGTCCTCCAATACCCTCCATCTACATCACCTACCACTTTCAGAGAGGCAGGCCTGGGAACAGGGAGATGATGGTGGTATACCATCAGAGAAGAAAACTACACTGGAATCTGGATGTATGAAGCCAAGGTCTCCCACCACTACCCAGCCTCTCTGCAAGAGGAGTCTCTCTTCTACAAAATCAGAATGACAATAATCACCACATGCCCCCTTTCAGGGCTATCTTGGAGATCCAAAATGACAGTGCAAACCACAGTGTTCTGTCAACTGTAAAGGCATCCATGGTCGGTCGGCTGCTGGGCTACYGATGGGTACAAGGCAACTCACCTCAAAGCACTCTGTTTCATAATCCTGGACCCACCTAGAAGAAACAGATCAGCACAGTCCTGGCTCTAGGAAACAAAAAGTGCTTACTGGGCACTCCTGATACTAGTCGAAGTGGTCGTAACACTCGGAAGGCACGGAGGGCTTTGACATCAAAGCCTCCTGATTTGCCACTGGAGTGGTTCCCGCCTTCTGTTTCTTTGGTTAATTGTTCCAAAATTACACTAAACAATCTGAAAGAAAGAAAGAAATGTCTGTCACTCAGGGAAGCAAAATAGGATGATAATAGTAGTTATTTTTAAACAAGGGCTAATTCTGGGAGGCTGCTGCCTAAGTAAAAAGGAGGCAGAAAATAGGGTTCTTACCCTATTCCTTGTTCTAAAAGGATTTGGGATAGGAGCTAATGTCATCTGTTTCCATGCCAATAGAGCATCCCTAAGCAAGTTAACCTCCACCAAAGTAGAGACTCACAGGGGATCCAGTGATGACAAGTGGAATTGCCCCCAATCAAAATGGAAGTAAYAGTGATCCTGGTGATCACCATCTATGAGTACTGGTGATATGCGTAAGCACTTCACATCTCATCACATATGTTGTGCAGCAGGGATCAACAACATTTTACGTGTGCAGAGACAAATTCAATGGGAACAAGTAATCTGTTCAATGTCACGCAACTAGTGGCCAACCATTTGAAACCAGGTGTGCTGGTCCCATGAGAATGCAGGTTCCATAAGGACACAAAGTCTTTTCAAAGACTTTGTAAAATAATTTGTTTTTTTACTGTTTTGTTCCTTTAGTCTGTTCTAGCCTAGTGCCTAAAACAGCTCCTGACATACAGGAAGTGCTCAAAAAATATTTCATGAGTAAATCAATGAATGACTTCAAAGTCCCACATCTTAATGTGTTATMCCACTTTCAAAGCAGTCACTGACACACACCCCCACCCAAACCCTCATAGRAATATTTAGGAAATGATGTAAATCACAGATGCTAAGGAGCTGTGCAAAGACTAAAAACAGTTACCTGAGGGAAGGGATTAATACCATTCTCTTTTGAAATGTGAATAATATTGTATCTGGCAAACAGGATGAATTTTTTCCTGCTCTCAGAAGGTTTTTTTTTTTCCCAGATAAAGCTATTTTCAGGCAATCTGTTCATTTGACAGTTACTTTTACCCTTTTAAATAAATATTTATTCTTTGGAATTGTTACTCGTTTTTCAGAATAAATATAAACTTACCCACTGCAAATAGCATTGACTCTGGCCAATCAGATTGTAGGAATGATTGGCCCAGCAACAAAGAAAAGGTTCCTAAAGTTTAATTAGCAGCCAAAGGAGAAATTCTGCCACCACTGGCAGGCCTCTGGATCACCAAGACACTAAGTCCATAAAACGCAGGGTGGTCTGATTACAATCCTGATCGGGCACAGCCATGTCGTTCTGGGCATTTATAGACCAGCTCTTTGTTGTAATAACAGTACAGCAATTAGCAACAGATCCAGCCAGAAGGGAAAATAAGCCAGATATCTACCTTTTCAAAGACTTTGTAAAATAATTTGTTTTTAGTTTTTCAAAGCCTCTTACGACAGGCTCTCCCTAGTTATAACTGGGGAAACATATCATATTTATGATAGGTTTCTCATTAGCCTAGTTTAAAAAAATTACTGTGAACTCCTTCAACAAGAACAAATTCATAGCCGCACAGAAACCAAGCAAAAGGAAGAAGAAAAACCTCAAAATCTTCTGAAATGTAGAAGCCACAGGAATTTTCATCCCATGGGGTTAGGAAAGTAATTTATGCAGGTGGTGACTTAAGATTGCCTTCAAGTATCAGTGTTTTGCAGGGTGTACTTTATAGTTCTTTTGTACCCTGTTCTTCAGCAATGGCCTTGAAAATAGGTGAATAATGTCTCTCCCATTGCAGAAGAGGCTGAGGAGGAAAGAAGCCAGCTGCTATTCCTGGACTGTACTGGGCTGGAAGGGGCTGGACAACTTCCATACCTAACAGTTCTGAAACTGTTAGGAGTTTAGGAAAGTTTCTTTCTTTGGGCCTCAGTATCCCCCTAGGTAAAATGAGAAGTCTGGATTTAGGGACACCAGAAACCTGCCCTTCYCATTCTCATATTCTGTGATTCTAGTTCCCCTCATTACCACTGTACCAAAACACACATACATACACACACAGTGCCTAAAATGATAAGGACATGAGAAGAACATAATATTTACCCCAAGACAAGAGGAAAAGAAAAAAGAAAGAACCGCCTTAGTAGATGCAGAATGAGGACACCATGCTCTTCTTCACAAAAGTTTAAGGGATGAGCCTGAATGCCTAAATGTCTCTTTACTGAAAAGTCAGAGAAGTAGGATAAAAGTGGATTTGAATCAGACTGTATTTTAAAGGGAGTGACGTCAGCTCTGCTAGGCCCAWTGAGTCCTCCTGTGGTCACATTATTAACAGCTAATATTTTAGAAATACCCATTACTTCCTTAATGCTTGGTTAGTGGGAATATTGACAAAAATAATAGGTCATTGTGGACTTGGAACAGAAAACCCATTGGACTGAGATACAGACCGTAGTTGGAAACTCTAGTGAGCAGGAATTTGATTCAAATGAACACATCATAATTCATCTTTTAAAAACTTTTATTCTACTTTTTCTTGGACTGTAATTTAATGTACATTTTAGTTAAAAAAAAATAATATGCTCTAAAGTTTTTCGTATTTAATGAGAAAAAGATTGATGAGTCCGGTTCTACTTTAGTTTCCTATGTAACTTAACTTTTAAAATCAAGTTTATTATCTTAATTTACAAATAATATACCCATTTATAGTGCAGAATAAGGYGAGTCTGCAAAGCATATGTCTAGGTAACAAACAAGACCACCAAGGTGGATTATCTCCAACCCCTCCAACAGCTCTCTCATTCCCCAACGAAGTCATCTTCCCTCTGTCCATCCTCAAGGATCCACAGCTTGGCTCTTTATCCACATAAGATTTTTCCTCTTCTATAGCCTATAACAATAGGATCATGTAGTATATTCTCCTTTTTGTTTATCTTCTTTTGCTTACCATGTTTTCTTTAGGTTCAGCCAAGTTGTTAAATTTATCAGTAGTTTGTTTCTTGTTATGGGGAGTAAAATTCCACTATGTAAATAAACCATAGTGAGTTTATCATTCACCTGTTGTGGGATATTTGGGTTATTTGAAACCAGCTTTCCTCTATTATGAATAGTCTTTCTGTGGACATGTGTTTTCATTTGCCTTGGATAAAAACCCAGGAGAATTAGTAATAAAGTCACATGGTGGGTTTAATATTGTAAGAAACTGGAAAGATTTTCCTAAGTGATCGTACCACTTTCCATTTCTAGACGTATTGTGTGAGAGATCCAGTTGCTCCACATGTTGACTAGGGTTGGATATTTTTGGTCTATTTACGTTTAGTAATCCTAGTGGGCACATAGTGTTGCCATGTGGTTTCAAGTGACATTTTAAAAATTACTAATGATGTTCATCTTTTCAGAAGTTTGTTGGCCTTTCTTTTGGGGCAGGGTTGAAGACCTATTCAAATTTKTTGTTCACTTATGTCTTGCTATTAAGTGGTAAAAATTCTTTATATATTTTGAATACAAGTCCTCTGTTAGATGTAGATACTGTGAACAGTTTTCCTACTCTGAATTGGCTTTTCACTTTCTTCTGTCTTTTGAAGGAAAGTTCTAAATTTTGACAAAAGTCTTATTTTTCAATTATCTTTTTTATGGCTTAGTATCCCTGAGAAATTTCTGCCTACTCTGAGATATAAAGATATTTTCCCATATTTTCTCCTAGAAATTTTATAGTTTTTAAATCTCACAAGTAGGCCTCTGATCCATGTTAAGGTAATAATTATATATGGTTTGAAGTAAAAATAGAATTTTTTATATTGATGAACAGTCTTAYCAGCACCATTTGTTGAAAACAGTTTCTTCTTATAAAGACATTTTTCTAAAACCAATTGATCACAAATATATGGGTCTATCCCATTGATTTTTATGTCAACTCCTTATGCCAATGTCATACTATGTTGACTCCTACAGCTTTACAGTAAGCCTTAARGTCAGGTTCCAGCTTTGTCTTTAAAGATTTCTTAGGCTAGTATAGAGTCTCTCTCATTTCCACATAAATGTTGGAATAAGACCGTCATTCTTCTACAAAAATCCTGCTGGGATCTATATTAGGATTCAATACATAGGGTGTAATTTCTTTCCAAATCAAGCTAACAATATTGAATCTTACAAAATGTAAGCACAGTACTCCATTTCTTTAGATCTTCTTTAATTTCTCTCAGCAAGATTTTGTCATTTTAGTGGACTATTTATGCCTAAATAGTTTAAGTTTGGGGGGTTCTAGTGTAAAGTAACATTATAAATATTCATTTCCAATTGCTAGTACATAGAAATCCCCATGACTTTTTTTACAGTGCCCTTTAATCTAGAAACATTCATTCAGAAAATCCATCTATGGTTTTAATTTTTTAAATTCTCTGAGATTTATTTTATGGCCAAGAATGTTGTCTCTCTTGATAAATGTTCCATGTACAGATGAAAAGAATGTGTATTCTGCTCTTATTAAACCAAGAGTTTAAAAAAAACTAACAGTCAATTAGGTCAATGGTATTGTTCAAGTCTCCCTACATCCTTAGTGATTTTTTGTCTACATGATCCATCAATACACTTCAACAGAGTATGGAGACGTACAATTATAGTTGTAGATTTATCTATTCCTCTTTTGCTTCTATCAATTTTTACTATGTATTTTGAAGCTCTATTATKAGACATATGTAAATGAGGATTGTTACATTCTCCTGATGAAATGATTTGGGGGCACAGGGTGCTGGGGAAATCAAACCCAGGGCTTCAGACATGCCAAACAAGTTCTTTACCACTGAGCCATATCCCCAGTCCCAATAAAATGATTTTTTACCATTATGAAGTCTTTCTCTCTATGCCTGATAATATTCCTTATTCTAAAGTCTACTTTTGAGGTAGTAATATAGCCATTCTGGCTTCATTTTGATAATTTTTGCATGGTATACATTTTCCTGTCCTTTTACTTTCAAACTGTGTCTTTATATTTAGTGTGTGTGAAGACACCAAAGAGTTGGGTCTTGTTTTTGAACATGCACAGTATGATAAGCTCTGGATATCAATAAGGATTTCACTGAGCTTAAATCTACTGTCTCACTATTTGTTTTCCATTTGTCCTGTCCTTGGTTCTTCCTCCTCTTTCCTGCCATTTCTGGACTGAGTTTTTGTTTTTTTTTTTTTCCTCATTTCACTTAGGCTCCACTATGGGTTTATTAACTAAACTTCATCATTTTTTCTAGTGGTTTCTCTAGGGCAAGTGCCAAGAAAAAAATTTCCCATAAAGTGCCAGATAGTCAATATTTTAGGAGTTACATGCCATAAGGTCTCTGGTGTAACTAATAACTTTGCCATTAAACAACAAATATCCATTGACATGTGGTTGAGTTGCAATAAAACTTCACTTGCCAAAGAGGTAGCAAATAAGCTACTTTATCACTGGGGGCAAGAGGACAAGCTTAAACCAGATTTGATTTACAGAGGATAATTTGCCATTTGGTCTCTAGGGTTTAAAACCTACATGTTAACTTATCCTGCTCTGTCTTCAAGTATTTTATCATTCTACCTATTGCATAAGCATTTGATGAGTGTAAAACAATTATTTCTCTGTTCTGGACTTTTGTGAATTGTTATATATTGTTTCTATAGAAGGTACAGACTCTACGTTTTTTCTCCTAAAGAGCTTCTAAAATGAGAAAAGAAGTCTTTATATGTACCCATCCATTTATCTTTTTGGGCATTCTTTGTTTTGTGTAGATCCACATTTCTAGCTGGTGTYATTTTCCTTTAGTCTCAAGAACTTTGACATTTCTTGAGGTGCAGGTCTATCAGTCATGAATTCTCAGCTTTGATTTGTCTAAAAGTAGTTTATTTTGACTTCAGTCTTGGAAGATATTTTACTGAATAAGAACCATAGTCTGACTATTTCCCTCCAGAACTTTAAAGATGTCTATCATCTTTGGCTTCCATATCGGATAAAAAGTCTGTGATGTCTTTTTCTCCGTTTTAAGATTTTCTCTTTATCTTTGGTTTTTAATAAACTGATTACGGTTATGACGTGTCTTGATGTGGCTTTCTTCATGTTTGGTCTGCCCAGCAGATTTTGAGCTTGTTTAATTTCTGAGTTTTTATTTTTCATCACATTTGGAAAATTTGAAGCCATTCCTTCAAATATATTTTTTTTTTCTGTCTTCCCTCAAAACTCTCCTTCTGCGATTCTAAAATATATCAGTTAAACCATCTGATAATTTCCCACAGGTCACCAAGGTGAAGTTCATTTTCCTCTTAATTATTATTTTTGAGTTGCTATATCTAATTCCCTGAGTTTTTTCTTTGATAGTATCTTAATATGCTATTAAGGCAATTCAGAATTTTTTTTCCAGAGGTATTTTTCAGCTCTTAACATTCCATTTGGTTCTTACATTGTCCCATCTTTCCTCATTATAGTTATATATTTCTTTTAGGTCACAAACATTTAAAATAGCTGTTTTCATACTATTGTAATGACTTTCTTGCTAATGCCATCATCTCTGTCATTTCTGAGTTTGTTCCTATTGACAGAATTTCCTCCTGATTATGAGTCATATTTCTTCATGGGTCCAGTCTTATTTAACTAGATGCTGGACATTTGGGAGTTACTTCAAGTATTTAGATCTCATTTTTTTCCTCTGAAGAATGCTAAATTTTGTTTTGTCAAGCAGTTACAGTATTCGCAGCGGGTCTTCTCCTTTTCAGGCTTCTTTTCAAACACTGTTGGCAAGGGTTTCAGATAATCTTTACACTAGAGCACAGGATGGCAAACTTTTTCTATAAAGGGCCAGAGAGTAAATAACTTAGCCCTTGTGGACCTAAACTATTCACCTCAAGGATGTAAAAAATAAATATGGCTATGTAACACTAAAACTTTATTTATAAAAACAAGCAGCAGTAGATGGGCTAGGATTTGGCCCAATTTTGCCAATGCCCACTCTAGAGCTGCTTTAGCACAACTACTGGTGGTTTTACTGAGGTCCTCACTGCAAATCCAGGGTGTTTAATGAGGCCTTTTACTCCAACTAGTCAGAACTGGAACAYCTTTCAGTCCCATGTCAGCTCTGGTTGTTATTTACTTTATAGCTCCCCAGTTTCTCCTCTTCCTAACAGTGCTCTTTGCCTGGCCTCTTGGAACTATACTCCACATAAAGTGTAGCTTAGTCTTCTGCCCAAACTCTAGAGGACCTGAAGGCATATTCATGAAGCCCTCTATGATGAGTTCCCTCCCTTCCCAAATTTGAGGTACTCAGTCGTCCTGAACTCTTGGCTCCTAAACTTGGTGAGATCACCATGTTTGCTTTGTTCCATGTCTTTGAGCTGCGCCGGTATGTACAAAATGTCTCCAGGCAGAAAGACAAGGTGATTATAGTAAAAGCAATGGAGGTAAACATCTCCATTCTCTACCTGAACATAAAGTCCAGGGGCAGGTGAGGTACAACAGGGTTAATTACAGAACCAAGAGACCTGCAAGGCTCYTGCTTGCCATTCTTCAACACAGTGCATCATTTCTATATATCTGCCAACTGTTCATTTTTGATGCACTAACTTTGCAATGATGACCTAGATGCTAATGTGCTTTGGTGGTTTTTGCAAAAGCTAACTTTCTTCCATATGGATCCCACTGTAACTTTCTAGGTTGAAAGGACAGGCCCCAAACTGATTCCACTCTTCCAATATCCAGTAGAATTAGTCTCCAATGATAAGCCAGTGGATTCATGATCAAAGGAAAATCAAAAAGAAAAATCACTTGCACAAATGCAAAAGGCAGCTAATCAAAGTTGTGGAGATGAAAATAGCCTATTTTTAAATCTTTCTCTACAGACACAATTTTAGGAAAAACCATACAGCAGCTAGGGTAAATAAGACTTTGATAACTGATTCATTTCTTTCCTAGGTGTGAAAGGAGTAGGAAAACACAGGCCACTACTTTTTAACATTCTAACTAAAACTACTRGCATCTTCTTCCTGAAACAGGAATTTGAAAAAACACCTGCTTCTCTGCATTTTCTAACTTATTTCCCTTTATGCCAGATACCTGACATTATTCAGACAATTGTTTTGTTTTTAAAATGGGATTGTGATGTGACAGTTTCTCCCATAAGTCATCAGAAAAAAATAGCTTTGCTCAAGGGATGTTAAACAACAGAGTACCTCTGCTATGAAGGGGTGTATATGTAATTTTAGCAGGGTGCTAAGCATTAAGAGCTCCACTCATTTTCTCTGACCACAGCAAGGATGGTTTATTTGTGGAGGTTCAAGGCTTGTAAGGTGAACCATCTTATATCAGGAGCTCAGCCTCCCTTCTGTACCATGTTACTGAATGTAGGAGTATGAACCTTCAAACCAGTCTCTGCTCAAAGACGGACAGAACAGTACTGACAGCCTCAGAWGCATTCCTGGTAGGCCCTGGTGCAATAATTGGCATAAAAGAGTAACCATCTTCCCTCAAAAGACTGTGTTCTCTTCATCTCCCAGTCCCACCCCTTTCCCATTTTCCAGATAAACATTTCCTCCAAGTAAGAGGGACTTACCCTACTATTACTATAACAAAATCCAGTAAATTCCATCCATTCCTAACATAAGCATTAGGATGTAGCAATAATCCATATGCAATAATCTTCAAAAATGTCTCGACTGTAAAAATAATCAGGAAGGCATATTCTACTTTTTCCTGTGAAGAGAAAGAAACAAACACACACACACACACACACACACACACACACACACAAAAATGTGGGGTGGGAGAGACAAACAAACAGTGATTAGAATCAATATCTCAAAGATATAAGCATTTTTCTCCCAAGTTTTATTATGAGAAAGAAAACAATTACACTGCACCTGGTCCAGGAAGGCATTTTAACACTGAATTTCTCATAAGCAACTAAGTGTAAAACACTTTTCATTCCAGGCTGAATGAYTGCATTTTGCCACCTGCCCTAATGCGTGTGCAATGAGTCTGCCTAGGACATAACGGGCATGTTTGTTATTTGCACATATTTGCAAATTTGTTTTCCTCCTGAGATTGCCAAATCAGGTCCAGAAAAGCACAAGGGTGCAACAAAGATTTCAACAGCAACCTTGAACAGAATGTCCTCTGGAAGGAATGAAAATGTGCTTGTTTTGACCCTTCCTCTTAAGTTCATGTCTAATTTTAAGTTAGAGTCAGCTTTATCAATGAAAAACCAGGTGACCTTGGGCAGGTCCCTCCCCTTCTCTGGACATAGCTTCCTCATAGGCAGATTGAAATGGAGTAAATTCAGATGGCAAACACTGCCCGACTACTGGCGAGCTGCCTCTCGGTGGCTGACACTTCTGAGGCGCCATCACGTGCTTGTCCAGGGAGCCTGGGCTCAACCTCCAAATCCTTCTCTTCCACCAGCCATTCTCAGACTGCCAAACACCTCAGTGTGCCACCTGCTTGAGGACTACAAGACGGGAAACCTTCCAATTCCAACCCATTGTGATTCTACCAGCTAAGGAAAACACCTCAATCATTAGTTCTAAATGTTTTTAACTCTTTTATATAAATATTTTCTTCATGGGACCCTGGTTTCAATAAAAATAGGGACTAACAGGAATATGCATAACCAAGAGGCATTCCTGGGCAAGAAGCTACTTAATAACTAAATGAAAAAAAAATCACTTAGCACATCTTCTGTCCTGAACAAGAAGCCGGGATTTGGAAAAATTCTCCAYTCTCATCCTCATCCTTGAAAAGTCTGGTCTGGTGGGGGAATGTGAGGGTTTCAAACCTGCACCCACAGAACCTCTGGAATCACAAGAAGGGTATCAGATAAAGAGCAATTATCTACTTTTAGCCCTCTGCTAAGGCCTAAGTCCTCATCTACTTCTCCCTTACCTTCCTTTTCGTGACTGACAAAGTGAGAGCTCTGCTATGTCATGTATGTTGTAGACATTTTTATAAATGCAAACTTTTGGTTTTTAAAGAAAATTTAAGCTCCTGAAGGAAAACTATTTTTAAAATAATCTCTTAAAATATTCACTTTGGGATCATACCAACAGACCTTATATATATTTGCTTGCAGAAGCTCCAGTACCCTTTTACATTCAAATGTTAAGTCTTGCCTAAACTACCCCAGGCTCTGTCTGTGACCAGAGTACTGCCCCCCTCCCTGTCCCTGGCTGTCCTAAGGGGAGCTTCCCCCATGCCTTGCTGCCGTTATCTCCTTGTTAGCCACCAGGGGAACCATCCAAACATGGCTGTGCATCCTAGCCAGCACCTCCATTTGCCACTCTCCACTGGTCATGTAAAAGTCAGTTTATCAGTTCTTCCTTCCCTTGCCCCAGAGCATCATGGTTCCTGTCATTTCTAAACCTGCCCTCCAGAGCTGCCTTTGATCCCTGGCATACCATCACAGCAGGAGGCACTCCACACAATCCTACATTCACCCTGCTGTGATATCCCAAGAAGAAGCAGGGCACATTTTGCCACTGGTGGGGGGGGGGGGGCAGATACAAGGAAGGCTTGTAAAAGGCAGGAACTGTTAACTCTGAAAGCTCAAGGAAGAATTCTGTTATGTAAACCACAGGCAAAAAAAAAAAAAATCCCTGAAAACACAACCTGCTATACTCAAATCAGACCCTGGCCACCAAATGCACATCGTCAATATGTTTTTGAGACATAATATTCTAAGGGAACGAGATAATCTAAAAACAGCACATTGATTTTACAATTCCTCTTCCGTTTTTATCCTTTCTGCTTTATTTACTAGGCCAGACAGGAAAAAAAGGCTTTTGCTGCTATCAATATTCATAGCAGTTACATCCCTACGTCAAGACAGCACTATACTTCAGAGCAGAAAAACAAGGAAGGGAACAGAGAGTCCACCTACCAAACACAGCTTGTTTTTCCTCTTTGGCTTTTATTTATAAGTAATTTTGCCGCCACAATACAAGGACCATTAGTATAACTAAATTGGTGAAGGTTCTTTTATACCCTTCCCTGTCCTCTTCCCCCCCCCCCCCCCCCCCCCCCCCCCCCCCTTTTTTTTTAAAGACTTTGGCTTCCTTTTCCAAAATCCTTGGTGAATTACTTGATGGAATCGATTCTAAAAAATGTAACATTGCTTTAAAGTGATTCTTTATTACAGAGATTCTACCATAACTGAACAATCAGAGCCCATAGAACAGAAGCCAGTGTCATCCTAGTCCTCAGTCCTGACACTAAAAAGGACTCCTATGAGATAAGTGTAGCTCTACATTAAACAAATGCAGAGTCTTAAAAAAAAAAAAAAAAGATGCAAAACAATAATAGAGGGAGTGGGATAATTATTTGCTTTACAAAAGGATTGGTCATTTGAGAAAAGAAAGTCAAGTGAATTTGAAAAGGAAACCAATAAGAGATTCAGGTTTCTAACTGCACACAGGGGAAACAGGAGGCAAGATGCGGTACAGAGCAGACACTGAGGTCTCTCGGCCAAGACAGATGTGAGCACAGGAAGATGCAACAGTAAGGATGAGGAAGAAGTAGCTGAGCAAGAACCCTTCATACCAGACATGCAGTGGGCTGTCCCTCCTATACGGCCTGGACAGAGCTACATTTTAAAAGTTCCCCTTCCCAGGCTAAACAGAGATACTACATGATCTCCAATTCCCCTCCATATGTCAGGCAGAGCCAGGTCTGTGTCACTCAGCCACCCACCATGCCAGGTTTCTCCTCATGGCAGGAGGTCCTGTTTAGCAGAGTTCTCCCTTTAGAAAACCACCACATTTTGGAGCCAGGGTTGTGGCTCAGTGRTGGAGCACTTGCCTATCATATGTGAGGCACTGGGTCCAATACTTAGCACCATGTTAAAAATAAATAAAATAARCGTATAAAAAACATAAGAACAATCTAAAAATGTGAGGTTTTGTGATCCTTATATACCTATCAAAAAGCAAAAGACAGGGTATATATCATTCTAAATCACTGTAAATGCTTTCTAGGGCAAGTTTGGAATAAATGGTCAAACTGATGAGATAAAAGCTGATGTCATTTTACCTAGCCCTCCCTTTCCATTCCAACCTGCAGGCCAGGGATAAGTTCTTTAATCTTCCATCCTTCCCTCACTTCCTTTTCCAACTTTCTCACTTCTCTTCTAGGAGACTCCTTCACATCATAGGCCAACCTACCATCTCCTACATATCCCCAGGACTTTTCTACTCCCACGCCTTTACTCAGCCGGCTTCRCTTACCTGGTCTATATATACATCTGCCCCCATATATGGAAACTTCCCTCTTCAGAGGGGGTGAATACATAGGTCTATGATACAGGGCTAAAAACAAGCACAGCATAGTTGAGAGAAAAGAACACAGGACTTGTTGCCATAATATTTGTTTTCTGCTAGTCACAGCTTAGCCACTGATTCATGCTGTGGCCCTGGGCCACAGTGGAACAATTCCACATCCTGTTCCCTCTTTCTAGAATGTGTCCCCKCCCCCCTTTTCCCATCAACCTAAGCTCTATTTGTCCTTCAGGGCTCAGCTTAAATGGTACTTCCTCAGCATAACCTTTTCTGACCTCCCAGACAAAATTGGAGCCTGCTGTCATATACTGTCAAAGCCTATTATAATTCACAGCCCTAATTCACAATGAAAATTTAACTTTTTAAAGATTACCTTTTTAATAGACAGCCCAGATATAAATCTACACATTTACAGTCAAATCATCTTGACAAAAGATGCCAAGAACACAAAATGGGAAAGGACAGTCTCTTCAATTAATGATGTTGATAGAACTAGATATTCACATGCAAATAAAATCAGACCCTTTAATCTCACACCATATACAAAATCAACTACAACCAGAATTTAAAAATTAAGACTTGAAATTGTACACACACTAGAAGAAAATACAGGGTAAAACTTCTTGACATTGGTTTGGGCAAAGACTTTGGCTATGACCCCCAAAGCAAAAACTAGTCAAAAGGCAGTACATCAAATGAAAAAGCTTATGCACAGCAAGTGAACAACAGAATAAGGACAATTTAGGGATCAGGAGAAAATATTTGCAAACCATATGCCTGATAAGGGATTAATATCCAAAATATATAAGGAACTCAAATAATTCAACAGCAAGAAAATGACACATTTTAAAAAAATGAGCTAAGGAATCTTTAGACATTTCTCAAAAGATACCATACAATAGTCAACAGGTATATGAAAATACTAATTGTAATACTAATTATTAAGGAAATGCACATTAAATGAGATAGCACCTCATACTTGTTAAGATGGCTATTATTAAAAGAAGGAGGAGGAGGAGGAGGAGGAGGACGAGGACGAGGACGAGGAGGAGGAGGAGGAGGAGGAGAAGAAAAGGTGGCTATTATCAAAAAGAAGAGACAGATGTTGGCGAAGATGAGGGAAAAAGTGAACCCGGGCATGCTGATGGTGAAAATGTAAATTACTACAGTTATTATGCAGAACAGTATGGAGATTCCTTTAAAATTAAAAATAGAACTACCATATGATACAGCAATTCCATTTCTGGGAAATATTCAAAGGAAATGAAATCAGTGTGTTCAAAAGACATCTGCACCCTATGTTTACTCTAAAGCATTATTCACAACAGCCAATATACAGAATGAACCTAATGTCCCTCAGTAGATGGTTGGATAATGTCACTCATTATACATATATCTCCATCCACCCCAAACTAAAACTCTTTA